TGGCTTTGGCTCCCCTGGGCCTGGTGGCTGGCCCGGGTTTGGCAGCAAAGAGTTAACATGGGGTGAGCCTCCTGCACCGAGCTGCTGCTGTGCTGGGCCTCAGGGGCCCCGCAGGGCGGGCCTGTGGGCGGACCCTGACAGCGGTGCGTGCTAGAGGACAGAGTGGCGGCTGTGGGGAAAAGACACTGCGCCTGCTCAGGGGAGGCGCGGCTGGGCCTTGCTCCATGGGTCCGTGCGTGAGCTTTCCTGGTGAGGTCAGCCAGCCTGGCCTGAGACAAACACTGGAAAGCAAACATGTGTGCCTGGCGGTGCCTGCTTGCTCCCCTACCCCCCGGAAGGCGGCTGCCTGCTTCAGGGGTCCGCAGCGCGCCCGGATGAGGCCTGTGGGCCGAGGGGCTCTCCGCACTGGCTGGCACCAGCGACCTCCAGGCCCGGCCTGGGGTGCGTGGGGGGGGGCACTGGACACACGTGCAGTGCAGACAGGCCATGGGCAGCGTGTGGACATCACGGTTCACCAGTTCACTTCCCCCTGAACACCCTCAGCGCTGACGGCCCCACGCGAGGCTTGCGTCTCCAAGAGTCCCACAAAAGAGCGTGCGGAGACTGTGCGGGTGCAGCCACCGTAGTCGATACCGCCTGCACGCAACTAAACTCAAATTGCACAAACCATCTGCTTGTCTAGTAAATGGAGCAATGAAGGTGGCAAGACCAGTTCCTGAACAGATACCCAAGTCAGATGAAGACCAGCACTGCTCAGGGACAGAGGTATAATCACATTCTAATGTTCTATTTCATAAGCATCTTTGAGTTAATGCCTGGTCCACTAATCATGAAGGTTTTTTAAAATAGTGTCCTACTTGATTAGTAAAGCACAAAATACAGGTTAAGTATAACATTGCTGTCATTTCCCCGCGGAGAGCACTTGGGGAGAGTAGTGGGGCGGACCACGAGGAGGACTGGGCAGCGGGGGTGCGGCGCAGCTTGTGGAAAGCACGAAGTTCAATGTTGTGTTTTGCTTTTTGCATGTTTTTGTTGGTTGGTTGTGGGCCTTGAACTTGGGGCCTGGGCACTGCCCTGAGCTCTATTTGCTCAAGGCTAGCGGTCCATCTCGTGAGCCACAGCATGTCTTCCAAATTTGTAAGGAGAAATAAAAGCCCAGGCCTGGGCCAGGCCGGTCAGCTGCTCTGCCCGATAAAACAAGCTTGCCACGTGACTTAGGTCTCAGGCGACGGAGGTGTGAGGAACACGTTGCCCCTCCGCAGTTGCTGTGGGTGCCCAGAGGGGGGTGCTGTGCAAGCTGCGCGGCAGCGTGGGCACACAGAGCACACATGTGTGCCAGCGCGGGCACAGGCGGCTTCCCACCCGTCACGGTGTCCCTGGCAGGGCCGCAGCCCAGGCAGCCCTGATGGGCCAGCAGCTGCAGCATCCCTAGGCCCAGGGAGGCGGCGGGGACCCTTGTCCTCCCTCTCACAAGGCCTGGGGAGGGGACACCCTTATGGAGACCCTAGCCACCAGTGTGAGCTCGTGTGTGTGCGCGCACACGAGCACTTCCAGCGCATTTACCTCAGCGCTTGGAGGATCAGGCATACAAGGCAAGCGTAGGGCATCCTTACAGAAAGTTCTGGTAAAAAAATCTGCTCTTCCTGCAAGATCACATCTGACCATCCCCTACTCCCCCGTAATCCCAGCAACAGTTAATGAAAGCACACCCCCTGGTGGCTGCGGGATTAGGCGGAGACAGCACCGTGCTGTGAGTTCCGGGCTCTGCCCGCATGGGCACTCGCTGCTCGCACTGGCTGGTGGCCTGGTGGGGTGGCCAGTCCCTTCCCACCGCCCCCCCACCTCCCCGAGTCTGCCCCTCAGGCCCCTGTCACTGATGAGCTTCTAGGCACCTTGGGAGAGTTCAGGCCCAGAGAGTTATATGGTGTTGTCTTGAGCATCCGGGGAGAACCAGAATTTCCAAATGAGTCCTAAAGTCCCTTGGGGCCAGGGACTGGCCCATCGCGGATGTGACTGTGGGGCAGGTGTCCACCCCGCTCAGGCCTGCAGAGAAGCCTGCTCCTGGTGGGGAGGGTCTGTACATCGTGCAGTGTCTTGTCACTATCTGGAAATACACTTTTAGAGGTTCAAGGGCATGGTGCTGGCTCTGGGGAGAACTCCTAGCTGTAGTAGTAGTTCAGTGGCAGAGTACTTGTGCGTCTGTGCACACGTGCATGCATACACAGGGGTGCATCTGTGCACGTGTGCACGTGTACATAGCTATGCATTGTGCACACGTGCATGCATACATGGGGTGCACGTGTGCATGTGTAGTGATGCATTGTGCGCATGTGTGCACACGTGTGCATGTGTGTGTGCACACACAGGTGTGCCTGTGTGTAAGAGAGAGGGGGATGGGCAGATGGCAGGGTGAGCAGCGGGAAGCCAGCGGAAGCCCAGTGCTTAGGCTGGCTCTCGAACCAGTTCAAGGCCTCAGGAAACAAATCCCCAGAGGAAAGACTGCGGGTAACCTGCCACCGCTCACAGCACGGGGCACCCACGGGCGAGCCGGCCCGCGGGGGGCATTCCGCAGGGTCCTGCACAGCACGGGGCACCCACGGGCGAGCCGGCCCATGGGGGATGTTCCGCAGGGTCCCTACAGCACGGGGCATCATGGGCAAGCCGGCCCGCGGGGGGGATGTTCCGCAGGGTCCTGCACAGCCGTCTTCCCCACCAGTTCTTGGTAATTGCTCTCTTCTGGTTTTTAGTTTCCTTCAGTTTCTTTTCAAATCAGGGACTTTAAAAATACTATTCTTTAGCCCAGCAATGGTGGTCATGCCTATTATCCAATTCAAAGACAGCTTGGGCAGAAAAGTCTGCGAGATTCTTATCTCCAATTAACCAGCAAAAAACAAAAAAAAAAAAACAAAAAAAACCATCCAGGAGTGAGTGGAGCTGTGGTTCAATGGTAGACGCTGGCCTTGAGCACAAATGCTTGGGGACAGCACCCAGGCCCTGAGCTCAAGACCCAGGACTGGCAAATGCACGTGTGCACACATGCATACACTCTCTACACACGCAAATGCTGCTCTTACTTTCTACTGAAATGGTTGTGGTACCTCTATTGCCTTTCGTAGTGCACTACCAGAATTTCTTCATGAGCAAGATGATTCCCCCGGTCCAGGCCTGGTGCTGTGCGGCTGGAGCTGGTGCTGGTGCCCTGCCACCCGCGGGGCGGGCGGTGGCGGGCGGTGGTGATGGACTTTAGCATTGCCTGTCTCGGGAGCCCCTGGTGCCCAGGCACGGCGCAGCTCTGACCCTGGTTTCTCAGCCTGGATTTCCTGTGCTGTGTGTGGATGTGCGAGACGTGTGGGCCGGCCCGCAGAGGAGGACGCACAGGGCCCCCCTCCCTCCCCCGCCCCCCGCAGAGGAGGATGCACCCCCCCCTCCCGCAGAGGAGGATGCACCGCCCCTCCCCTCTCCCCCCCCTGCAGAGGAGGGCTCCGGCGGGCCGCCTTCCTCTAAGCGCCCCCTCCCTCTGCTCCCAGCTCCCGGGGCTGCTGCAGCCAGCGTGCACCCACTCGGTGATTGTGATATTTTTAGGAATTCTGTAGGCCAATTGTTAGGTACAGCCGTTAAGGTTCATTCACTGATGCACAGATAATAAACACTCAAAACGCCACAGAGCAAAGCGGGCTCAGGACAGGTTTTTGTGGCAAGAAAAACGTTTTGTGTGGTTGGCAGGCCAGCGGGCAGGCGCGGTGGAGCCGGCCGTGCCTCCGGGCGGGCGTCTGCGGCACAGGCCCTTTCTCGGGGGCCGGTTATGTTCTCACCTGGGGGCGGGGGCAGAGCACGCGGCATCTTTGATCAGACCTGGTCTCTGCTCACGAGTGCTCAGGAAAAGGCAGATTGTGATTACTGCTCATTAGTGAAGGGCCCGCAGCCGTTCCTGGGAGACGAAGATCTTGTTCGAGGGATTCATCCACACTCTAGCCATTCTGAAAACGAATCACTTCCTAATTGTTTTGAGTGTTTTCGCGTCACCTGTGGGATTCATCCACCCACTGCAGCGCTGCACGGTGGAAATGCTCCCATTGTGTGTGCGTGTTTTCAGTCCAGAATCAGCTGACAGCCTCCGCTGTCCTGCTGTGCGCGTGTTGGTGATGGTCACCACAGCACATGTGGAGCAGACAGTGCCGATTGTGGCCTGCTGTAAACCTGCGAGCCCAGAGCCCGGCCCCAGACGGCTCTGGGTCAGGGTCCGTGGTCGCTGCTGCCTGGTCAGTGGGAAATGTGCTCCTGGTTGCACGTGGGAGGTTCTAGAACTCTACAAAAACCACAGCACATCTTGGTGAGTGGCAGCGCCCCACGGCACTGCGCCTCTGCTGGCAGATCGCGTGATCTGCAGCGTTCAGGGTGGCGGGTGCGGGAGCTCCGTGCCCGCTGCAGACTGGCAGGGGCTGGTGGATGTTTGTGGGCGTGCGTGTGTGCATGTGTGCGGTATGTGCACGTGTGCTGGGGATCAAACAAGAGTCTCATGCTCACGCTGTGAGACGGGTGGATGGGGAAGAGGGCTGTCTGGAGTGAGCCCTCCTGTAAACACTTGTGAGCACGCCGGTGGCGCCGCGGCGCATGGGCAGCGAGGCGTAGCATGGGCGAGGCCTGCGACTCCAACCAGGGTGGACAGCCAGCTCCAGTCCCCGCCCCCCTCCCGAGGGTCCTCCGGCTGGGTCACGCGGGGCCTGGGGTCCCCTCCCCCCCCGTGTGTCCTCTGGCTGGGCCACGCGGGGCCTGGGGTCCCCTCCCCTCCCCGTGTGTCCTCTGGCTGGGCCACGCGGGGCCTGGGGTCCCCTCCCCCCCCGTGTGTCCTCTGGCTGGGCCATGCGGGGCCTGGGGTCCCCTCCCCTCCCCGTGTGTCCTCTGAATGGGCCACGTGGGGCCTGGGGTCCCCTCCAACACGGCTCCCTCCACAAACAAAGGCTGGGAGGTGTGACTTAGCATGTTTAATGGGACGCAGGAAATAGAGTTCTGTCTCACACTAGAGGATTTCTTCTGGAACCTAAGGAGTGAGAAATGACAAGCAGGTAGATGCTTCCTCTATGCAGATAAATCACGTCTATGGATTGTTACTCAGTCCCGGCGGGGGCAGCTTTGGAAGAGGAGGTGAGGGGGCTCCAGCAGGCAGACGGCCCCGCAGGACACGGCAGCGTGGGGTCCATGCCCCCCGCTGCTCGGTGCCCGCTGCCGAACCCCTGGTCCACGGCGACGCCCTGGCTCCCGTCTGCTCCAGCTCTGAGAATAACGAGGTGACCGTCCTACTGGGGGCGGCGGGGGTCAGTGCGGCCGCGCAGGGGTGAGCCGGAGGAGCCGCGCGGGGGCTGTGCGCAGCATGGCTGCACCTGCTGTGTTTCCAGAACTTTTCTCCAGGAGGCGTACCGGAACCTTCTCTGGGGCTCCCTGGAGGGCCAATTCCAGACGGGGCGCTGCGGGGTCCCGGGGTAGCCAGACGCCACGCTGCTCTGCCTTGGGCACCTCCGGGGAAAGCCACCTGGGGTTCTCATGTCAGAGCTGCCCCGTGGCAGGCTCACCGTGACCTGCAAGGCGGAGGCCACCAGGCCAGGCCCGGCCCGGGTGCGGGGCCGCCCGTGGGGAGCCCTCCTCCCGCCTGAGGGTGGACATGGCCGCCGCAGTGCTGCGGAGCAAGGCAGGGACCAGGCCGTGCCGGCCTCCACCCCAGAGCGAAGTCCTGCCCCAGGAGGCTCTCGGATGACGTCACCTTAGAGGCCATGCCCAGCGGGGCACCGCACCTGGGACCTCCGCGGGCTCTGCCTCCATGGAGGCAGAGCAGGGAGCGCTCTGTGGGGCTGTGGGAATGCACTACGATGCGCGACAGACTGCGGGCGGATGTGGATGGTGCTGTAGGGAGGGAACGCTTCCTTTTCTTTACAAGATGATGAAAACTGATGCGCTGAGTCCCCCGCCGTCCTAACCGGGTATTTCCACGGAATATACAGGGACTGGTCATCTGGTGGACCGTGGGAATCTGAAGACTCTGCCAACAGCACAGGACAGCGAGCTGGGGCAGCGTGGGGCCCCAGCGGGGCTCTGCCTGGGCCTACTGGGGAAGGGCCTTCAGGATGGCGTTCACCTCCTCTGCCACGGCTGTTAGCGCAAACTCAAACTGCTCCTGCAGAGGGACAGAGGTGAGAGGAGGTGTGAGCGAGGGGGACCCCTGCACTCCAGTGAGAGGAGGCGTGAGGGAGGGGGACCTTGGTGCACTCCAGTGGGAGGAGGCGTGAGGGAGGGGGACCCCTGCACTCCAGTGAGAGGAGGCGTGAGGGAGGGGGACCTCGGTGCACTCCAGTGGGAGGAGGCGTGAGGGAGGGGGACCCCTGCACTCCAGTGGGAGGGGGCGTGAGGGAGGGGGACCCCGGTGCACTCCAGCATGAGCTGCTTGTCTGCTTTTCAGGAAGACACTGTCCAGGCAACAAAAGAGACCCTAGAGTCCCTGGCCTCAGCACAGCCCAGTGCTCGCTGGACTTCGGTGCTGGAAAGCTTGATCTCTATGTGGGGCAATGTGGCTATGGAGCTACCAGGCAGAGGGCTCCCTGTGTTCTTCTCAGTCTCTGGTGAGGGTCCTTGACAAGCCAGCCACCTGGATGGGCAGACGGGGCGGTCATGACATCAGGCAGGTATGGCCGCCAGGCCCAGTCGTAGCCACAAGAGTCATAGTCACAGTCACAGTTATACACCTGGTCATAGCCACAGTTGTGGTCGCTACCATAGCCACAGCCACAGTTGTGATCAGTTATAGTCACAGTCATGGCTACAATCACAGCCACAGCCATAATCAAGCCTCATTCCTAGCCGCAGTCCTAGCCGCAGTCACAGCCACAGCCACAGTCATAGTCACAGCCACAGTCACAGTCACAGTCACAGTCATAGTCACAGTCATAGTCACAGTCACAGTCATAGTCACAGTCACAGCCATAGTCACAGTCATAGTCACAGTCATAGTCATAGTCACAGCCACAGTCACAGTCACAGTCACAGCCATAGTCACAGTCACAGTCACAGCCATAGTCACAGCCATAGTCACAGTCACAGCCACAGTCACAGTCAGTCAGTCATAGTCACAGTCATAGTCACAGTCATAGTCACAGTCACAGTCACAGTCACAGTCATAGTCACAGTCATAGTCACAGTCATAGTCACAGTCACAGTCACAGCCATAGTCACAGTCACAGTCACAGCCATAGTCACAGCCATAGTCACAGTCACAGCCACAGTCACAGTCACAGTCAGTCATAGTCACAGTCATAGTCACAGTCATAGTCACAGTCATAGTCACAGCCATAGTCACAGTCACAGTCACAGCCATAGTCACAGCCATAGTCACAGTCACAGCCACAGTCACAGTCATAGTCACAGTCATAGTCACAGTCACAGTCATAGTCACAGTCATAGTCACAGTCATAGTCACAGTCACAGTCACAGTCATAGTCACAGTCATAGTCACAGTCACAGCCATAGTCACAGCCATAGTCACAGTCATAGTCATAGTCACAGTCATAGTCACAGTCACAGTCATAGTCACAGTCATAATCACAGCCACAGCCACAGCCACAGCCACAGTCATAGTCACAGTCATAGTCACAGTTATAGTCACAGCCACAGTCATAGTCACAGTCACAGTCACAGTCATAGTCACAGCCACAGTCATAGTCACAGTCACAGCCACAGTCACATAGTCATAGTCACAGTCATAGTCACAGTCATAGTCACAGTCATAGTCACAGTCACAGCCACAGCCACAGTCATAGTCACAGCCATAGTCACAGCCACAGTCACAGTCACAGTCATAGTCACAGTCACAGCCATAGTCACAGTCACAGCCATAGTCACAGTCATAATCACAGCCACAGCCACAGTCACAGTCATAGTCACAGTCATAGTCACAGCCACAGTCACAGTCACAGTCATAGTCACAGTCATAGTCAGTCATAGTCACAGTCACAGCCACAGCCACAGTCACAGTCACAGTCACAGCCACAGTCATAGTCACAGTCACAGCCATAGTCACAGTCACAGTCATAGTCAGTCATAGTCACAGTCACAGCCATAGTCACAGTCATAATCACAGCCACAGCCACAGCCACAGTCATAGTCACAGTCATAGTCACAGCCACAGTCACAGTCACAGTCATAGTCACAGTCATAGTCAGTCATAGTCACAGTCACAGCCACAGCCACAGTCACAGTCACAGCCACAGTCATAGTCACAGTCACAGCCATAGTCACAGTCACAGTCATAGTCACAGTCACAGTCATAGTCACAGTCACAGCCATAGTCACAGCCACAGCCACAGCCACAGTCATAGTCACAGTCATAGTCACAGTCATAGTCACAGTCACAGTCATAGTCACAGTCACAGCCATAGTCACAGTCATAGTCACAGCCACAGTCATAGTCATAGTCACAGTCACAGTCATAGTCACAGTCACAGTCATAGTCACAGTCACAGCCATAGTCACAGTCATAGTCACAGCCATAGTCACAGTCATAGTCACAGCCACAGCCACAGTCATAGTCACAGCCACAGCCACAGCCACAGTCATAGTCACAGTTATAGTCACAGCCACAGCCATAGTCACAGTCATAGTCACAGTCACAGTCAGTCACAGTCATAGTCACAGCCATAGTCACAGTCACAGTCACAGCCACAGTCATAGTCACAGTCACAGTCATAGTCACAGTCACAGTCATAGTCACAGTCACAGCCATAGTCAGAGTCACAGTCACAGTCATAGTCACAGTCATAGTCAGAGCCACAGCCACAGTCACAGTCATAGTCATAGTCACAGCCACAGCCACAGTCACAGCCACAGTCACAGTCATAGTCACAGCTGTCATAGTCACAGTCACAGTCACATGGGGACCTTCTGGATGCCGTGGGGAGAAGCGATGTGTGGCTTCTGAAATGCACAGGTCTCCCGCACCTCCCCTGTGTGCTTCCCCAGGCCTCCTCACCTCAGCTCTCCTAACTGAAGGCCTGAGATGCCCACCTTCATCCAGATGTCAAGCACCACACACCCAGAGACCTGGCCTGCCACACCATGGACACAGGACACCAGGCCTGGGTGTCAGCTCTTCTGGGGATGGGGTGGAGCAGCGGAGGAGCCTGCTTCCCCTTGAGGCCATGGTAGACAGCCCAGTACTGTCCTGACATCCAGTCCTGACAGGCCCCCCTCCTCCAGGCCCCACAGAGGCTCCCAGCCAGGCTCACCCAAGGTGTCATGACATTACAATCATTGTTAGAGACTCATCAGACTCGTCTGAGTGCCTGCATGGCTGAGTCTGGTGCCAGCTCACGCTCCCATCCCCACAAGGGGCTATTCCATGGGCCGCAGCCACGTGCTGAGCCCACTCGGAAGGGACCAGTGCTCCAACCAGAGGCACTCAGCCGAGATGCCTGTTTGCAATGGAATCTGTTGCGGAAGCTCTGAAACCAGAAGTGGCGTTAGAGCTGAAACTGCACGTGGTAAACGTGGTAAATGACAGGGTGCTGGTCTTCCCCTAAGCAGAGCTCAGGGCAGGCGAATCTGAGAGGAGTGGAGCTCCTGGTTTTCAAGTACGTTGGCTGGATGAGTGAAGGCAAGGTCAGAGGCTCTCAGATATTCTGAGCAAGAATGGTGTGTGTGTGTGTGTGTGTGTGTGTGTGTGTGTGTGTGTGTATACCAGTCCTGGGCTTTGAACACAGGGCTTAGGTGCTGTTTCTGAGCTTTGAAAAATTTTTTCCACAGCGTCACTTCTGGCTTTTTGGTGGTAAAGTGGGAGATGAGAGTCTCATGGACTTTCCTGCCTGGGCTGGCTTTGAACCCATATGCTCAGATCTCAGCCTTTTGAGTAGGTTGAATTACAGGTGTGAGCCACTAGTGCCTGGCTCCAGATGGCTGGAGGGACAACTTTCCCATTCAAACCTGCCCAGACCCACACAGGAGGCTCGGTGCCCTGCCTGCATTTGGAATGCTCTGACTCCATCTATTCAGACACTGCCAATTATTCATCATGTGTGCAGAAGTTGGGGCTCAGGAGCGGCTCTTCACGGAGCCTTGAAGACCAACTAGCAAGGGACTGCGCCCTAGCACTCAATTGCTAATGAGTCAGGGACTGCACCCTAGCACTCAATCACTAACGAGCCAGGGACTGTGCGCCCTAGCACTCAATCACTAAACAGCCAGGGACTGCGCCCTAGCACTCAATCACTAACGAGCCAGGGACTGAGCCCTAGCACTCAATCACTAATGAGCCAGGGACTGCGCCCTAGCACTCAATCACTAATGAGCCAGGGACTGTGCCCTAGCACTCAATCACTAACAAGCCAGGGACTGAGCCCTAGCACTCAATCACTAACGAGCCAGGGACTGAGCCCTAGCACTCAATCACTAACGAGCCAGGGACTGTGCCCTAGCACTCAATCACTAACGAGCCAGGGACTGAGCCCTAGCACTCAATCACTAACGAGCCAGGGACTGAGCCCTAGCACTCAATCACTAACGAGCCAGGGACTGAGCCCTAGCACTCAATCACTAACGAGCCAAGGACTGCGCCCTAGCACTCAATCACTAACGAGCCAGGGACTGCACCCTAGCACTCAATCACTAAACAGCCAGGGACTGAGCCCTAGCACTCAATCACTAAACAACCAGGGACTGAGCCCTAGCACTCAATCACTAAATAGCCAGGGACTGAGCCCTAGCACTCAATCACTAAACAGCCAGGGACTGAGCCCTTGCGTGACCCTGGAGCCTGACTTGGGGTGCACCTGTGCACCAGGAGTTTCCAGGGCTGTGTGTTCAAAGTGGACCCTGGGGTGATTCTGCCAGGTAGGAGATTGAGTCACACTCTAGTCCCACGAAGCAGGGTACAACCTAAGCCCTCCTGGTTACACAAAAGGTTCAGACACCCAGGGGAAGGAGCCTGTGTCTCCCAACTTGCATCTGCCTGTGGAATGGGCCCGGGCGGCTTCTGTGGTTGGACGCTGTGGTGGGGGTGGGGTCCTGTCTGCCCCTGGCTGACACCCCGGCCTGGGACAGCCAGCGGCCTCTGCCTGGCACACGCGCACAGCTTGGCTCTGTCCTGGCTGTGGGTGCAGGAGGCTGAAGGAGCAGGTGCGCCGTGGGGAGCTCAGCGCGCTCACAGCCCTGGAGAGCTGGGGGGTCACACTGCGGCAGAAACTGTTTCTGGTTGGAGGGCAACTCCCTGGGAGAGTGCTCACCCAGCACACACACACACACACACACACACACACACACACGCACACACACACACCCTACATGGCTGGTGAAGGGAGTGGAGCTGGTCAGTTGAGTCATTTGGTTGGACTCCAGAGTGCGTGTGCAGCCCCGGGAGCTACGTCTGGGCAGCCTCTCCGGGGGCCCAGGGAAGTGGGGCAGGACCAGAGCAGCGCGGCTTATGTGAGTCAGGCTTCACCCCTCTCCTCCCCGGAAGGCAGCCAGGGAGGCCCTCTGGCTGGAGGACAGTCCGGGAGGTGGAGGGACAGGCAGTCAGGGAGGTGGAGGGACAGTACCTTTGTCTGGACCATGCCTGGTCTCTGGTCCCGCAGGTGCTCCAGGGTTGCTGCGATATCAATCTCCTTCGCCCCTGCAGCAGACCACAAAGGGGGCTGAGCCTCAGCCCAGAAGGTGACCCACGCCGCACCCACCCATCCCCTGCAGCAGACCACAAAGGGGGCTGAGCCCCAGCCCATGTGGTGACCCACGCTGCACCCACCGATTGCCTGCGCGTGCCCTGCTCCCCCTGGGCTAAGAGCCAATTGGAAATGATTACACTGGTCCCTCAGCAGGCTTGGCCGGCAGCTGCGATTCCAGTGCTCATCGAGAAAAATAGGGCCGGAGCAGCTCCATTAGCATTAATTCAAGAAAGCTGGGCTGAAAAATTGTCAGAGATTCCTGCACAGACCCGCACCAGCAACCGGCCAGTGCGGCTACAAGTGGAGCTTTATTCCGTGTGTGTGTGTGTGTGTGTGTGCGCGCGTGCTTGTGTGCACACACGTGCATGTGTTTCGTGGCATCTTAAAGAATGTTGCAAGTCACAGGAAACAGTATGAACACTTCAGTTTTGATTGCACAGGATTAGTTTCTGTTCTTTTTTTTTCCTTTTGAAGAAAGCATAGCTGGGCACCAGTGGCTCATGCTGGTAATCCTGCTCAGGGGACCAGGATCTGAGGATCACGGTTGAAAGCCAGCCTGAGCAGGAGCTTCCGTGAGACCCTCAGTTTCACTCCACTACCAAAAAAGCCAGAGGTGGTGCTGTGGCCCAAGTGGTAGAGCATTAGCCGTGAACAAAAGGAGTTCATGGACAGTGTCCAGGCCCTGAGTTCCAGCCTGCTTATCTTCTACACAGGCTGAGGTGAGGAGGGGCTGGGAGGAGCGGCGCTGCCGCTGGGAGGGCGTCTCCTGCAGGCTGCGTCAGGAATCGTGAGTGTGTGCAAGCGAGCGTTCACACGCTGCACGCGCAGTCCCTGAGGAGTGGCACCCAGCCTCCGGTGCCCAGAACTGGAGCAGGGGCTGGGGAGAAGGGGGGGCTGGGGAGAAGAGAGGGCTGGGGAGAAGGGGGGGCTGGGGAGAAGGGGGGGCTGGGGAGAAGGGGGGCTGGGGAGAAGGGGGGCTGGGGAGAAGGGGGGCTGGGGAGAAGGGGGGCTGGGGAAAAGGGGGGCTGGGGAGAAGGGGGGGCTGGGGAGAAGGGGGGCTGGGGAGAAGGGGGGCTGGGGAGAAGGGGGGCTGGGGAAAAGGGGGGCTGGGGAGAAGGGGGGGCTGGGGAGAAGGGGGGCTGGGGAAAAGGGGGGCTGGGGAGAAGGGGGGGCTGGGGAGAAGGGGGGCTGGGGAGAAGGGGGGCTGGGGAGAAGGGAGGGCTGGGGAGAAGGGGGGTTGGGGAGAAGGGGGGTTGGGGAGAAGGGGGGGCTGGGGAGAAGGGGGACTGGGGAGAAGGGGGGCTGGAGAGAGGGGGGGCTGGGGAGAAGGGGGGCTGGGGAGAAGGGGGGCTGGGGAGAAGGGGGGCTGGGGAGAAGGGGGGGCTGGGGAGAAGGGGGGGCTGGGGAGAAGGGGGGCTGGGGAGAAGGGGGGCTGGGGAGAAGGGGGGCTGGGGAGAAGGGAGGGCTGGGGAGAAGGGGGGTTGGGGAGAAGGGGGGGCTGGGGAGAAGGGGGGCTGGGGAGAAGGGGGGCTGGGGAGAGGGGGCGCTGGGCCCCTCCGTGTCTCCCGAAAGGCTTTGCTGCGGTTGCGGGGAACTTTGCTCCCGGTGAGTGAGTGTGCAATCCCATTCTCTCCTGAAAACCCCGTTTTGGTGGCACCAGGCTGGCACGACTGGACACAGCCTGCTGGCCGTGGTGCCACGAGCAGGATTGTGAGGAGGACAAGAATCTGCATGGGGGGGCAGGGCAGGAACGGCGGCATGGATGGCGGGCACCAGGGGGGTCGGGGGTGGTCCTGGGACTCAGCCACACGTGCCGGGCACGGGCCAGCACCCACGGGGCTTCAGTGACGCTGGCGACCGCAGGGCTGTGCTCGGGCCTGGCAGAGGTCATGGGGCTGGCGAGGGGGCTTCCTGTCAGCTAGCGCTGAGGGGCGTGGCTCAGGGCTCGGCCCAGCTGGCCGGCCTCAGGAAGGGCACATGGCCCTGTGTGCCCGCGCCGGCCCAAGTGGCCGCCAGGGCCCTCGGTGCTCGCTCAATCGGCGCTGATGGCTCCTCCTCTCCCGGGGGGGGGTGGGGGGCGTGTTGGAGACAGCGGCGGTGATTTTAGCTTTAGATAAAGAGTACCACTCACCCCCACAAACATGAAGAGAACATTAGCATGGAAATATTAAAACTATTTTTTACTGCCACAATCTGCAGTCAGGGTAAACACAGCAGACTTTCCCTTAAGAGTGTCCTTATGAGGCTTGCTTCGATTCTCCTGGACTTGGGATGTTGGCCAAGAGCAACGGTGACCCCACTGATGTCACTGGGCCCCCGCGTGCTAGGCGGCCCTTCACTGACGGAGGTGGCCTGACTGACCGAGGCCTCTGCATGTGGCCTCCACCAGCACACTTCCCAGTAATGCACTTGGTAAGCACCCAGAAGCCTCTGCAAAGTGCACTGCCTTTCCTTGAGGATACAATAAGAGAATATATATCACATATTCAAGAGAAAAAGACTTTCCTTTTACACAAGAATTGTCCCTGCGCTGCTCTGAAGGACCTGAGAAAATCAAAACCCAGGGCTGCCACAAAGAGGTGCAAATGTCCACCCTCTGCTCAAACTGGAGACTGCACAGGTCCCCACAGGGGTGCCCAGCCCCGCTCAGACGGGCCAGGTGCGGGGTGGTGACCAACCACCCCCAGGCCTCTCCCTGCACACGTCATGCCCACGGCTGTAGCAGAGGGAGGCTGGTCATCTCCACCCGGCTTGGGCTCTGTGATGGGACCCCCTGACCCCCTTGTGCCCGGGGGGTCAGCATTGACCCCCCCCCCGTGCTACTCCTCTGGGTGACCATTCACTGCCGTGGGCCCTGCTGCTACAGGTACTCAACCACAGGAATTCTGGGAGGCCTCACCCTTGGCCTGGTGCCCAAACCCTAAAGCTATGGTGATCAGACAGAAAAGTAAAACCCTTCCTAAGGCGGCTCTGGGGACAGACGCAAAGGTGGACTGGCTGGAAGACAGTGCTTGCTTAGGCCTGAGCTGAGCCCTGGAATAAGAGTGGAGACGAATGATACCACTTGTGAGACAGTTCATCCACGCACAGCCTAAGCCTAGCGGTCCCCAGGAGTGCCACAGACAGAGCCACGGCATTCCCGCCGCAGAGCCCGCAGAGTCCCGCAGAGTCCCGCAGAGTCCCGCAGAGCCCCGCAGAGTCCCTCAGAGTCCCTCAGAGTCCTGCAGAGCCCCGCAGAGCCCCTCAGAGTCCCTCAGAGCCCCGCAGAGCCCCGCAGAGCCCCTCAGAGCCCGCAGAGCCCCTCAGAGCCCGCAGAGTCCCGCAGAGCCCGCAGAGCCCCGCAGAGTCCCTCAGAGCCCCGCAGAGCCCACAGAGTCCCGCAGAGCCCCGCAGAGCCCCTCAGAGCCCCTCAGAGCCCGCAGAGTCCCGCAGAGCCCGCAGAGCCCCGCAGAGTCCCTCAGAGCCCCGCAGAGCCCCGCAGAGTCCCTCAGAGTCCCTCAGAGCCCCTCAGAGCCCGCAGAGCCCCGCAGAGCCCCTCAGAGCCCAGAGCCCCTCAGAGCCCGCAGAGCCCCTCAGAGCCCGCAGAGTCCCGCAGAGCCCGCAGAGCCCCGCAGAGTCCCTCAGAGCCCCGCAGAGCCCAGAGTCCGCAGAGCCCCTCAGCGCCCGCAGAGCCCCGCAGAGCCCCGCAGAGTCCCTCAGAGCCCGCAGAGCCCCTCAGAGCCCCGCAGAGCCCCTCAGAGCCCGCAGAGCCCCTCAGAGCCCGCAGAGTCCTGCAGAGCCCCGCAGAACCCCTCAAAGCCCGCAGAGCCCACAGAGCCTGCAGAGCCCCTCAGAGCCCCGCAGAGCCCTGCAGAGCAGGGGACAGCGCGTTATTGTCTACTTGCTAATAAACTGGATGGTAGAGAAAGGACTTGAATTGTTCCAAGTGTATTCTTCTGGGTCCTTCTGCCAGGCCCAAAGTCCTTAATCCCTGAAAGCCGCCCTGGGCTGAGTGGGGAGCTGGGCGTGCTGGGGGTCACGCTCCGAGCTGGGGGCCGAAGGGCAGCCGGGCCGCGGGAGAGCTGTGGATGGGCATTTTTCTGCCCTGGTGCAACCCATTCTTCTTAAGAAAGGGAAGTGGGAAGAAAGGCTTCTCGAGCAGGGCTCTGTGCCTTTGATCATTTGGTGAAGGCTGGGTTAGCAACGTGGGCCTCCAGCCTCTCTGGCTGGAGCCCAGGACAAAGCCCGGGCTCCTGGGGTGGTGGCCGTCTGCCCTTTGATTTCCCTGGAGACCCCAGGTCAGGGCATTTCACACCCAGGCCCCTGCTGTGGGGGTGAGCAGGTCAGCGAGGTGGGTGAGCCTTCCCCCGCGCGCCGCCCCCCCCCCCCCCCACGGCTGAGCTCGCATTGTTAGAGGCTGAGCCCACACTTGAATGGAGCTGCAGAGCACACTCACTGGGGGGCAGGGGGGGGCGGGGCGGCAATAGCCAGCCCTCCCGGCTTGGTCCCCAAGGCCTTCCTGCCGTGCAGCCAGGGCACCCAGACTCCGTGCACCGGCTGGCGGTCGCGTGAGCCCCAGCCCAGGCCCACAGGCCCAGGTCTGCTCAGCTGCTTTTCTGGACGTGTACACTTCCATCTGTAATAAGTGTCGCCCAAGTAATTCACTAGGTGTGAGTCGGTTACAAGTGTGAACGGACAGGACGTCCTTCACTAAAATAGGCTGTGTAATTCTCAAGTATCTTGGTGTCACAGAAGGAAAAGATTTCTGTCTGGAGAGCGAGGAGAGAGGGACAAAGGGAGGAGTATGGGTTTTGCTCATAGCTCTGAGCTCCAGTCACTGAGAAATTGAAAAGGAAAAGCTGCTTAACCAGGGCTGGGGCATGGCTCTGGTAGTAAAGCATACTGCCTGGCAGGAGTGAGGCCCTGGGTTCGAGCCCAGGACAGCCAAAAACAAAAATCAATGAGACACAGCAGCATTATTGGACAAGGGGAAAAGAAACTTTAACTAAAATTGCTAGGATAGTGTTATGTCTTAAAAACAAAGACAGCCATGAGAAGCAATGTGCGTGTTTGCGTTTTCTTTTTGTTTCTGCGCTCAGCGTCATGTGACGTGTGTGTGGAGCCTTGGGCGGCAGCTGGCACCAGGCCGGGCTCCGGCCCCCGGTGTGGCTGCCGCCCTTCAGGGAACCACTGTGGCCCGCAGTCCTGCTGTGTAAATCAGGGGCTGCTCGTTTTACTTGTTTATTTTTAAATGATCTTCAAGTAGTTGTGCAGAGTTGGCGATCAACAAAGCAGTGTGAGAAACACAGCGCCTTGATCAGGCCTCCCCCGCCCCCAACAGCTCCCCTCTGGGCCGGTGTCTTCTATTACAGCCCTACGTCCTTGTTCCAAAAGTGCCTCCCTGCTTCCTTCGCTCCCCAGGCCCCTTCCTCCCTCTGTCCCACGGCCCCTCCTTCCCCGTCTCCTGTCCCTCCCTCTGCCCTGTGACTTTGCAGGTGTCGGCCCCACAGGGTCCTTTACAAGTGCAGAGACGGTTATGAGGCTTTCCCTGGCCTCTGCTTTATATTAGTTTTTTTTTTAAATATTTCAACATTTCTTCTTATTAAATTGCTATTTTATAGTATTATTACTCAGAACTAAAGGTCTTTCATTGAGATTTAAAGATGTAACGGTAGAGCTCTATAGCCAGTGACTATATACAATGGCCTCTGCTTTAGAGGCCACTGCACAGGCCTGTTTCCTGGACCCGGGAGCCCTGTGTACAGGCCATATGTTCACGTTCCAGGGCCCTCCTGACACCGGCTCTGTCTACACCCTGGCTTCCGGTCAGGCCTGTGCGTCTCCACGTGAGGACCCACGGGAAGCCCAGCACAGTTTGTCAGGAGGTGCACAGAGAATGTCCCCTCATCTGGGACTGGGACAGGGCTCAGCACTACAGCAGGCCCCAGCACGGCCCAGTCCCCGCTCCACCAAAGGAAAGGGCGAAAGTCTCCCTTCAGACGAAGCGCTCTGGGGGACCCTGGCCTGCTGGGGGTGGCCCTGGCCTGCTGGGGGGGGCCCTGGCCTGCTGCGGGAGGTGATTCTGGCCTGCTGGGGGGACCTTGGCCTGCTCTGGGGAACCCTGGCCTGCTGGGGGGGGGGTGACTCTGGCCTGCTGGGGGGCGTGACTCTGGCCTGCTGGGGGGGTGACCCTGGCCTGCTCTGGGTGACCCTGGCCTGCTCTGGGTGACCCTGGCCTGCTCTGCGTGATCATGACCTGCTCTGGGTGACCCTGGCCTGCTGGGGGGGTGACCCTGGCCTGCTGGGGGGGTGACCCTGGCCTGCTCTGGTGATCATGACCTGCTCTGGGTGACCCTGGCCTGCTCTGGTGATCATGGCCTGCTCTGGTGATCATGGCCTGCTCTGCGTGATCATGGCCTGCTCTGGTGATCATGGCCTGCTCTGCGTGATCATGACGTGCTCTGGGTGATCATGACGTGCTCTGGGTGATCATGACCTGCTCTGGGTGATCATGACCTGCTCTGGGTGACCCTGGCCTGCTCTGGTGATCATGGCCTGCTCTGGTGATCATGGCCTGCTCTGCGTGATCATGACGTGCTCTGGGTGATCATGACCTGCTCTGGGTGATCATGACCTGCTCTGGTGATCATGACCTGCTCTGGTGATCATGACCTGCTCTGGGTGACCCTGGCCTGCTCTGGGTGACCCTGGCCTGCTCTGGTGATCATGACCTGCTCTGGGTGACCCTGGCCTGCTCTGGTGATCATGGCCTGCTCTGCGTGATCATGACCTGCTCTGGTGATCATGGCCTGCTCTGGGTGACCCTGGCCTGCTCTGGGTGATCATGACCTGCTCTGGGTGACCCTGGTCTGCTGGGGGGGTGACTCTGGCCTGCTGGGGGGGTGACCCTGGCCTGCTCTGGGTGACCCTGGCCTGCTCTGGTGATCATGGCCTGCTCTGCGTGATCATGACGTGCTCTGGGTGATCATGACCTGCTCTGGGTGATCATGACCTGCTCTGGGTGACCCTGGCCTGCTCTGGTGATCATGGCCTGCTCTGCGTGATCATGACGTGCTCTGGGTGATCATGACCTGCTCTGGGTGATCATGATCTGCTCTGGGTGATCATGGCCTGCTCTGCGTGATCATGACCTGCTCTGGGTGATCATGACCTGCTCTGCGTGATCATGACCTGCTCTGGGTGATCATGACCTGCTCTGGTGATCATGGCCTGCTCTGGGTGACCCTGGCCTGCTCTGGTGATCATGACCTGCTCTGGGTGACCCTGGCCTGCTCTGCGTGATCATGACCTGCTCTGGGTGACCCTGGCCTGCTCTGCGTGATCATGGCCTGCTCTGGGTGGCCTTGGCCTGGAGGTTGGGGGCAGCCGTGGTCAGAAACCTGGGTCTTACCCTATGGAGCTCTGCAGGGAACCCAGAGGATGCTCTGGCTCCCATGCCTTCTCTTCTCTCTGGTGCACTTACTGACCACACGGACGGATTCTCAGAGTACCCTACTACGTGCTCATCTAACAGCAAAGGACAGACCTCAAAAACAAGTGGCCTTCACTGCATTTACAGAGAAGGGACAGCCACCATCTCATTTCCCCCAAGGCCTCCCTTGACGGTAGTGCCTGCGTTGCCATAGCAACCACCACCCCATCCCCAGCCACCGCAGAGCAGCCAGACGTGCGGTCTCACCTTTGGCCATCTTATTGAGAACCATGTCAATCAGGATGTAGGTTCCGCTCCGGCCCGCGCCGTCACTGTCAACAGAAGGAGAGAGAATGAAGATGCTGCCGGCCCGGCACGCCCGCCCAGACTGGCCGCCAGCGCTCCCTTCATGCTTAAGTGGGCTGCCAGAGGAGGGAGGTTGCAGGGGAAGGGAGGGAGAAGGGGGGAATGGAAGGGGGAGGGTGCAGAGGAAGAGGAGGAGGAAAGAAAGGGAGGGGAGGGGCCAGAGTGGGGGCTTCCACCATCCTCCAGGATCCCACTGCGCTGGAACGCAGTTTCCGTTCTTCTCTATGTCTATCCCCTGCCCTTGGACCGGAGCTGGTAAACATGGTCAGACGGGGAAATGGAACTTGGTTTGAGCGTGTCGGAGCAGGCGGTGCTGGTTCTGCGCCCCGCGCCTGTCCTTGCCGAAGGTGTGCGGTGTGCAGCGTGCCCCGTCCCGGAACACGCCAGGAACACGGCGAACGTGTAACCGCCGCACAACTACTACACTAGTGGTGAGGATGACAAAGATAATCAAAGTGCTCTCACTTCACCTCAGTGTCCCCGCTAACCTGCAGTGCCATCAGCAGCGGCACTGACTTGACAATAGCAAATGGAGAAAAAAAGAAAATGCCTTTTCTGGGAGAAAAGCTGCCGGCTTACCTCTCAGGGCGTGAGCAAAATGCCTCCCCACACCCCGCTCCCCTACAAGGACGGAGACACCCCGTCCCAAGAGCCAGGCTTCTCCAAGCAGACCAGCCTCCGTGCGCCAGCCACACTTCCTCCCCCAGGAAGATCAGTGGGCACTTCGAGGGCAAGGTGACTTCGCCCTGAACAAGACGGGGAGGAGGGAGGGCCGGCCCGCTGCTCGTTGGGCTGGTCTGTCATTCCCAGAGCCCCGCAGACCCACAGGCCGCTCTTCACGGCAGAGTCGCCGCCCTCGGCTCCCATGCATTTCTCCAAACAAACGGTCCAGAAAAGCAGCGGAGGGAAAGATCGGAACTTCACACGTCCACGCATGTGCGTGTTCACCGCGCTGTGACCAGGGCACGCAGCCACGCACACAGCTCCCCGCAGACCCACAGCGGGCACGCCTCTGGTGAACGTATCTGACTTCCGGGCAGAGCAGATCCCAGGAATAGTTGAAGAAATACTGCAAGTCTTCCGATGGACTGTGGCTCGTCTTAGCACATTCATGGGGAGAGCCATGTTCTACTCTGTGAGAGGCAAAGCCGTAGGCGAGCACGGGCCCCTCACACGTGTGCACGCACACGGACAAGCACACGTCCACACGTGTGCACGCACACGGACAAGCACACGTCCTTCTTGGCTGGACCCACAGATTTGGTACTTGATCTTTGGAGATCCTCGGATTCCTTTTCTTTCCAGGCAGAAAGAAATATTCTATGAGACAGTTCTAGAAAAATGGAACACGAGCGCCTCACCAAAGATGGTTGAGCACCTGGTGCGGTGGAGGACTGCGGGCTGAGCTCCAAGCGGCCCTATTCCCACCCGGGCAGTTTTAACTACTTAAGGGTATGCACCACCAGCAGCCGGGCTCCTGCGGTCCAGACTGGTCTCTCTGTGGCCTCAGGCGGGTCCTCTTCCCTGCAGGATTCCAAAGCCTTGCTCAATGCAGCGGTGGCCTCTGCTACCGTGGGACAATTACTTTCCATGGAAAGTACTGGCACCAAAAAGATTTAGGGAAAGGCCAGGTGGTCAGACGGGGCGATGTGGAGAGTGGCCGAGGCCGGGTCCCGGGTAGAAGGCGGCTCTTAAGCACCGCAGGATGGATGCCGACTTCATTTAGCCAAATGCAGAGCAAATCCAGTGAGTATTGTTTGCTTTTAGAAATACCAACTAGATATATTTGTTAAGCAATCAGAAAGTCCAGCTTCTTTATTAATTATATTAGTTTTTTTGAATAGCACAAATTTAAGCCAGGTGAGAAGTTGTACTTGCCTGCAATGAACAATTATTGGACAAGAACGGCCCCTGTAGCTCTTGTTTACTTTTCTGAAATAAAAAGAAATATAAGGATTATAGTGACGTGCTGAGCTTCTGTACTATCCAAAACAGTCAACAAGCCAATGCCTGCAGCCCATATCATTGCTACTATTTTGTAACAGCCTGTTTGGGCCAAGAACAGATACAACGAACACCACCATTTCCAGGGTTTTCCTTTTCAACATCAACTCAATAAACAAGCTTTAAAAGCAGTCCTTACACTCTCACGGTGTCCCCGTCCCCCGACCCCCAGTGACTACTTTAGGGATCGGAATGAGAGAGCAAGGCCCCCAGCCCTCCCCCAGCCCTCGCCCCTGCAGACCCTCCCTCCCTCCCCTCAGTCCTCGGTCCTCAGCTGGGGTGTGGCCGTCTTTGACGCGACACTGAGACTTTGGAGCTCTGCAGTAGAAATGCAGAGCTTGCACGCATCATGTTAGCACGCGGTGCATGCAGATCCAGTGTGGCTAAGGTTCTACTTGGCCTATGGGCTTTGGGTACAGATATCTAAATCTTTTTTGTTTTCATAAGTCTGCATTTGCTTCAAAGCAGCCTCCTCCTGCAGGATCTAGACCAGCGCTGTCCACGGTAACAAGGAGAACTTACCCAACATTTGGCTAGCCGCCCTATCTAAATCGGAGGGCTGAGTCACATTCACTGTGTGAGCTCCAATTGTTCCTTTTTAAAAATTCAGTGAACAACTAAACATGTTTTCAAAGCACATCAAAACTCTTAGTAAACTATTCCACAGAAAGAAAATTAAAGACAGGATCTCAATTGACTGGAAAGAAAAGTGAGTGACAGATGCATTCTAGAACACACGGTGGTGAAGCCTGGCATTACAGACCCAAGTGCTGCGAGGTGGCAGCGCGGGGAGCCCCCCCTGGCCAGGGGGCCTGGGTGCTGGGCCCTGTGCAGATGCCCTGTCTGGAGGCAGGGGCGGCAACCCAAGTGCTGCGAGGTGGCAGCGCGGGGAGCCCCCCCTGGCCAGGGGGCCTGGGTGCTGGGCCCTGTGCAGATGCCCTGTCTGGAGGCAGGGGAGGGGAGGGAGGGGAGGAGGGGGGGGCGGCCCTGCCACCGGTGCTCTACACAGAGCTTCAGCTCCATGCGGCTCCTGTCAGAGGCCTGCCTTTTCCCGTTTGACTAGTCCCTCTATGGAGCTCACAGAAGGAGACCTGATGGGGGGAGTCTGCACCCCGACCTGCAGAGAGGAGAGGAGGCTGGGGGTCAGGCGTGAGCCGTGAGGCTCGCCGGCCTCCAGCAGACAGGCCAGCACGCAGCACCGTGCGGCTGCTGCCTCCGCCTCTGAGCGCCGAGGCCCTTGGGGAGGAGCAGGCGGCCACACCAGCTCTGAGCCCCTTCCTGGATTGCCGTGACCGTGACCGCCACTGCCGGGAGGCTGGGCAGTGAGGTGAGGGTAGGCGTGGACCCCCCCGGGGCCCGCGCACCTCAGTGCCTCCGCGCTCCCCATCCTCAGAGAGCGGCTGCCCGGCCGGGCCGCGCGGGCGTCGGGAGCGCTGGCTGGCGGGACCCCAGGCAGGGCCCGGGCTGCCTTCTCCACGAGACAGCACACAGGCTTGGTTGGGATGCAGGTTAGTGGCTGAGTACCAGACAGGTGTGCATCAGGCTCTGGGTTCCGACCCCCATGCCAAAAAACAAAACGAACAACAAAACAGCAAAAAGTCAAAAGAAAAAATGGTATGCATGCCATCCAGCAAGTTCACGGGTCAGCCTGGCCCAGGCCGGCCTCCCCCTACAAGCCTGGCCCCGTTATGGGGCATTGGGGCCAGGCCGGGTGCTTTTTAACCGCATCAGCCGGGAAGGAGTCCGCCATTAATAGCTGCTCGGTCCCAGCCTGCCAAATGCGCCCCTGACCCCGCCAGGCAGGAAGTGCTGGGAGGGGCGTGCTGCAGGCTGGCACTTCTCTGCGCACCCTGCCTGCAGTCCTCCCTCACCACACGGCTAAGTGCGTTCTCTCCGGGGTGTGGCGGCCGGCTGCCCAGGCCTCTGCGAAGTCTCGCACCTTCACAGCAGCCCCGCCCAGGCTAGCCCTACTTACAAACAACCAGGGCAACAGAGGAGAGGCGTGGTGAGACCCCGCGGTGGCGGCAGGTTTGGAACGTTATTGGCACGGGATCATGCACGCCCCTCGGCTTAGCACAATGACACACCATAGAGAGGAAAGCAAAGCCACCGCCCGGGGAGCCCCGTGTCCGTCCGTCCATCCGGCGGCCTGAGATGCAGATGCAGACCAGTCATGAAGATGAGCAGTGCACAGCCGTCTCAGTTTACTCTCAGACAAGGTGTCAGTGAGCGAGAGGTCTCCGGCACTGAGAGACAGCGAGAGGATGCACACTTCCACCGGAGCTCACCGAGAAGGCACGGTTAGCGATGCACACCAGCCCTCGGCCACTGAGTGGCAGGCGCAAACCAACAGCAAGCAAAGGTGAGGTCGTTAAAGACGCAGGGTCGCCCGGTCCCTGCAGCAGGCACAGTTTCCAATGATCACTTTTGTGACTATGCAACTGGGCTCATATTACTAGCTGCAACATCACAAAAATGACACTGGCCACCGCTAATTAGCTGGCAAAGTAAGGGTTTGTCCATTGTACAGTGAGCAGCGTTAGTGGATGTTATGACACACAGCAAGAAGGCGAGAGAGAGAGAGAGAGAGAGAGAGAGAGAGAGAGAGAGAGAGAGAGCATGAAACAGAGCCAGAGAGAGGAGGAAGGGAAGAGTAAGGGGGAGGCTTGAAAGCACAGCCCTCACATGTGATGCTAATGATCTCTTTAAAGTGTAAATGTGCCCCTCTGGGCACCAGGAACATTTAATTACACATCGCGGGTGCCTGGTGCACACGCAGGCCGGAGCCTACTGTGGAGACAAGGAACCCTGAGCCGGCTGTGGAGTCCCAGCAGCCTCCAGCGCCTCTCCGGCTGCCGGCACCGGGTGGCTGTTTTACACAGACAGCAGCAGCCAGTGTGGGGGGTTACGTGGGCGCGGCGGCGCGGCTGCCGTGTCGGCGACTGGCTGAGGTGTGGAGAGGCCTCAGCGGCATCACAAGTCCTGACCAAGGAGGCGCGCAAGCGCGTGTGTGCGCACACGGCAGGCGACCTGGCCCAGCCACGCCGCGAGGCTGGCCTACCGGGGAGTTTGTGTTCTTTATGTTAATTGCTCAAAAACTTTCTTGGATCACAGTCCTCTGGCTGAAGGGAATTCTGGGGATCCTGCTTTCACTCCTCGTGACGCACTGTGAATCCTGAGGCTGGGGCGGGCTTGTTCCATTTCATGGGTGGACACAGACACAAGCCTGTGTACACACATGTGCAGACGCCGGGGATGGGCTTAAAGATGGGCGGTGGGGTGGGCAGCCATCTTTGTAGCTGCACCCATTTTGCCAGGGTCGGCACTTCTCTGAAGCCACCTTCAGCGTTCTGCCTTTGGGAGGAAACCTGCACTGAGAAGACACATCTAATGGCAGGAACCACAGTGGGTGGGAGGGAGTGGCGCACAGTAGGTGGTTCATGGAGTGGGTGGTGAGGATTAATGCGCAGTAGGTGGTTCATGGAGTGGGTGGTGCGCGGTAGGTGGTTCATGGAGTGGGTGGTGCGCAGTAGGTGGTTCATGGAGTGGGTGGTGCGCAGTAGGTGGTTCGTGGAGTGGGTGGTGCGCGGTAGGTGGTTCGTGGAGTGGGTGGTGTGCGGTAGGTGGTTCATGGAGTGGGTGGTGCGCAGTAGGTGTTGCATGGGGTGGGTGGTGCGCAGTAGGTGGTTCATGGAGTGGGTGGTGCGCAGTAGGTGGTTCATGGAGTGGGTGGTGCGCGGTAGGTGTTGCATGGAGTGGGTGGTGCGCAGTAGGTGTTGCATGGAGTGGGTGGTGCGCAGTAGGTGTTGCATGGGGTGGGTGGTGAGCAGTAGGTGTTGCATGGAGTGGGTGGTGCGCAGTAGGTGGTTCATGGAGTGGGTGGTGCGCAGTAGGTGGTTCATGGAGTGGGTGGTGCACAGTAGGTGGTTCATGGAGTGGGTGGTGCGCAGTAGGTGTTGCATGGAGTGGGTGGTGCGCAGTAGGTGGTTCATGGAGTGGGTGGTGCGCAGTAGGTGGTTCATGGAGTGGGTGGTGCGCAGTAGGTGGTTCATGGAGTGGGTGGTGCGCAGTAGGTGGTTCATGGAGTGGGTGGTGCGCGGTAGGTGTTGCATGGAGTGGGTGGTGCGCGGTAGGTGGTTCATGGAGTGGGTGGTGCACAGTAGGTGGTTCATGGAGTGGGTGGTGCGCAGTAGGTGTTGCATGGGGTGGGTGGTGCGCAGTAGGTGGTTCATGGAGTGGGTGGTGCGTGGTAGGTGGTTCATGGAGTGGGTGGTGCGCGGTAGGTGGTTCATGGAGTGGGTGGTGCGCAGTAGGTGGTTCATGGAGTGGGTGGTGCGCAGTAGGTGGTTCATGGAGTGGGTGGTGCGCGGTAGGTGGTTCATGGAGTGGGTGGTGCGCAGTAGGTGTTGCATGGAGTGGGTGGTGCGCAGTAGGTGGTTCATGGAGTGGGTGGTGCGCGGTAGGTGGTTCATGGAGTGGGTGGTGCGCGGTAGGTGGTTCATGGAGTGGGTGGTGCGCGGTAGGTGGTTCATGGAGTGGGTGGTGCGCGGTAGGTGGTTCATGGAGTGGGTGGTGCGCAGTAGGTGTTGCATGGAGTGGGTGGTGCGCAGTAGGTGTTGCATGGGGTGGGTGGTGCGCAGTAGGTGGTTCATGGAGTGGGTGGTGCGCAGTAGGTGTTGCATGGAGTGGGTGGTGCACAGTAGGTGTTGCATGGAGTGGGTGGTGCGCAGTAGGTGGTTCATGGAGTGGGTGGTGCGCAGTAGGTGTTGCATGGAGTGGGTGGTGCGCAGTAGGTGTTGCATGGAGTGGGTGGTGCGCAGTAGGTGGTTCATGGAGTGGGTGGTGCGCAGTAGGTGTTGCATGGGGTGGGTGGTGCGCGGTAGGTGGTTCATGGAGTGGGTGGTGCGCGGTAGGTGGTTCATGGAGTGGGTGGTGCGCAGTAGGTGTTGCATGGGGTGGGTGGTGCGCGGTAGGTGGTTCATGGAGTGGGTGGTGCGCGGTAGGTGGTTCATGGAGTGGGTGGTGCGCAGTAGGTGGTTCATGGAGTGGGTGGTGCGCGGTAGGTGGTTCATGGAGTGGGTGGTGCGCAGTAGGTGTTGCATGGAGTGGGTGGTGCGCGGTAGGTGGTTCATGGAGTGGGTGGTGCGCGGTAGGTGGTTCATGGAGTGGGTGGTGCGCAGTAGGTGTTGCATGGAGTGGGTGGTGCGCAGTAGGTGTTGCATGGAGTGGGTGGTGCGCAGTAGGTGGTTCATGGAGTGGGTGGTGCGCAGTAGGTGGTTCGTGGAGTGGGTAGTGCGCAGTAGGTGGTTCATGGAGTGGGTGGTGCGCAGTAGGTGTTGCATGGAGTGGGTGGTGCGCGGTAGGTGGTTCATGGAGTGGGTGGTGCGCGGTAGGTGGTTCATGGAGTGGGTGGTGCACAGTAGGTGTTGCATGGGGTGGGTGGTGTGCAGTAGGTGGTTCATGGAGTGGGTGGTGCGCAGTAGGTGGTTCATGGAGTGGGTGGTGCGCAGTAGGTGGTTCATGGAGTGGGTGGTGCGCAGTAGGTGTTGCATGGAGTGGGTGGTGCGCAGTAGGTGGTTCATGGAGTGGGTGGTGCGCAGTAGGTGGTTCATGGAGTGGGTGGTGCGCAGTAGGTGGTTCATGGAGTGGGTGGTGCGCAGTAGGTGGTTCATGGAGTGGGTGGTGCGCGGTAGGTGGTTCATGGAGTGGGTGGTACGCAGTAGGTGGTTCACGGAGTGCTCAGGGTTCTGACTCACCTCTGCATCCCCAGGGGAGGTGAGAACAGGTGGGAGCCACTGAACCCGTATAGGACACCCAATCCCTGTCTCTCCCAGGGCTCTTTCACAGGCTGTCTGAGCCAAAGAATGATTCAGACAAATGGTTTCTTTTTGTTTTTCAAAATGGACTAAAGGGCAAAAGAAACTGTATCCTAATAAGCTTACGATCTGCAATGTGCAAGTTCAAGAACCCCGGAGGCAACTCTGAAACTCCACCTTTATGGCAACTGGTTTCTCTTCTCACCTCCCCTGAACGGTGCGCGTGCAGACCGCAGGGCTGTTGGTGTTCAGACACAGCCTCGTGCCTCCGCAGGCCCAGAGTCTCCCGGAGACTGTGAAACGCGAGGCTGCTGCTCCTCAGGGGGTAGCCAGGGGACCAGTGACAGAGAACTAAAGCTTTTACTTTGCGTGCTTTTCTTTTCGTTCTTTGTCTTCTTTTCCTTTTAATCTCAAACCTTCCTGTAAGACAGTCTAGCACTCATTTCGACAGCTGAGCACATGCACTTTAGAGCAAGATAACTTACTGAGTGACTGGCTGACAACAGACCAAAACAAATGGAGTTTTGTTTTTAAACTGCCTGTTTCAGAATTGCATTAATATCCACAGTCACGCCGGCCAGACCCAGGCTTCCATCCACAAGTGTGCATTTAGCAAGCGTGCGCCCATCACCCAAGAGGGTAGATCAGTAGCCAAGCAAAAACCTGGCTTGATTACTGCAACCTCACAAAACAGGAACTTCAGGAGTCTGGTGTTTGACTCTTGTCCTGACCGATGGCCATATTTCCACCGTTCTAAGATGCCTGACCCCTTGCTTTTTGACACTGCTAACCCTGGAGTTCACAACGATCACTTGTTGCTAGATGAATCCTTCCTCTGCTTCCTGTTGCCGTCCTGTTGGAGCACAGAGGGACCATCTCCCGCGAGCGGCATCTTAGAAACATGGGAATCTAGCACCGGCCTGCGTCCCCTCAGCCCGCCGCCCCCACCCTGACAGCGGCCTGCTGGCCAGAGCTTAGTTTTACCTGCGGAAGTCCAGGAGCGACCTTGTGGAGGAGGGGACACCCTGGTTGTGCCAGCTCAGGAAGTGGAACTGGGTCACGGTGCGCGTCTCGTTGGTCTGCAGGTTCTTGAGGTAAAAGCTCCTCACCAGGAAGTCCTGACACCAGATGTGCTCAGAGACCAGGTTGACCTGTGGGGAGGAGCAGGGGACAGGGCGGTGGACGCCTTGGGTCTGACACAGGTAGGACCGCCGGCGGTGACATGCGGGACACCACCCCGAGGGCACTGGCTGGTCCCAGGGCCTGTCCCCACCCCCGAGGGCACTGGCTGGTCCCAGGGCCTGTCCCCACCCCCGAGGGCACTGGCTGGTCCCAGGGCCTGTCCCCACCCCCGAGGGCACTGGCTGGTCCCAGGGCCTGTCCCCACCCCCGAGGGCACTGGCTGGTCCCAGGGCCTGTCCCCACCCCCAAGGGCACTGGCTGGTCCCAGGGCCTGTCCCCACTCCTACGTGAGCATCACGTGTGCCTGTGGTCTGTGTACATGCTGAAGCCACGGCGTTAACGTTAACCAACTACACAAACGACGACACAGCCGCAGCCATGCAGCCAGCCGGCCCTGTGTGCTTCTGTCATGCACACTTCAGAAAACGACAGCGATGCAGAGGCCTGCCCGTGAGCGGGCAGCAGGTGACCCTGGGTCCCTCCAGGCTAGAGTCTCTCAAAGTCTCGGTGAGGTTGGTGACCATGAGAGCCAGCGGCAGCGCAGCTGTGAGTGAGCACGCTTCAGGCTGCAGCCTGTGAGGCCTGTGGTATGAGCGGGCGCCATGGATGGGCCGGCGGTGTGAGCATGGTGTGAACGGGGGCCGTGGATGGGCCTGCAGTGTGAGCAGGCCCTGTGGGTGCCCTGTGGTGTGAGCAGGGCTGAGGATGGGCTTGTGGTGTGAGCAGGCCCCGTAGGTGGTGTGTGGTGGGAATGGTGTGTGGTGGATAGGCCTGCGGTGTGAGCAGGCCCTGTGGGTGCCCTGTGGTGTGAACAGGGGCCGTGGATGGGCCTGCGGTATGAGCAGGCCCCGTAGGTGCCCTGTGGTGTGAATAGGGCGGTGGATGGGCTTGTGGTGTGAGCAGGCCCTGTGGTGTGAACAGGGTGGTGGATGGGCTTGTGATGTCAGCAGGCCCTGTGGTGTGAACGGGGGCCGTGGATGGGCTTGCGGTGTGAGCAGGCCCTGTGGTGTGAACAGGGGCCGTGGATGGGCTTGCGGTGAGCAGGCCCTGTGGTGTGAACGGGGGCCGTGGATGGCCTTGCGGTGGGAGCAGGCCCTGTGGTGTGAACAGGGGCCGTGGATGGCCTTGCGGTGGGAGCAGGCCCTGTGGTGTGAACAGGGGCCGTGGATGGGCTTGCGGTGAGCAGGCCCTGTGGTGTGAATGGGAGCCGTGGATGGGCTTGCGGTGAGCAGGCCCTGTGGTGTGAACGGGGGCCGTGGATGGGCTTGCGGTGTGAGCAGGCCCTGTGGTGTGAACAGGGGCCGTGGATGGGCTTGTGGTGGGAGCAGGCCCTGTGGTGTGAATGGGAGCCGTGCATGGGCTTGCGGTGTGAGCAGGCCCTGTGGTGTGAATGGGAGCCGTGGATGGGCTTGTGGTGTGAGCAGGTCCTGTGGTGTGAATGGGAGCCGTGGATGGGCTTGTGGTGGGAGCAGGCCCTGTGGTGTGAATGGGAGCCGTGGATGGGCTTGTGGTGTGAGCAGGTCCTGTGGTGTGAATGGGAGCCGTGGATGGGCTTGCGGTGAGCAGGCCCTGTGGTGTGAACGGGGGCCGTGCATGGGCTTGCGGTGTGAGCAGGTCCTGTGGTGTGAATGGGAGCCGTGGATGGGCTTGCGGTGTGAGCAGGTCCTGTGGTGGGAACGGGGGCTGTGCATGGGCTTGCGGTGTAAGCAGGTCCTGTGGTGTGAACGGGGGCTGTGGATGGGCTTGCGGTGTGAGTAGGTCCTGTGGTGTGAACGGGGGCCGTGGATGGGCTTGCGGTGTGAGCAGGTCCTGTGGTGTGAATGGGGGCCGTGGATGGGCTTGCGGTGTGAGTAGGTCCTGTGGTGTGAATGGGGGCCGTGGATGGGCTTGCGGTGTGAGCAGGTCCTGTGGTGTGAAGGGGGGCTGTGGATGGGATTGCAGTGGGAGCAGGCCCTGTGGGTGCCCTGTGGTGTGAACGGGGGCCGTGCATGGGCTTGCGGTATGACGAGGCCCCGTGTAAGCAGGCCCGTGGGTGGTGTGCGTGTGACTGGGCATTGTGGTCTCTGACTCAATGGTCATGCTCATCTACGTCACTCCGACGTGGGCGTGCAGCCCTGCGAGAGACGCTCCAGTGCAAAGGCCCCGAATTCCCATCAGAGCCACAGATGACGCTTGGCCCAGGCAAAGAAAGGGCCAGCCGTTCCAACAAGGACAGTGTTCTCTGTGAGAGCAAACCCTGCCCGAGGCCTTGGTGGCCTTGCCGGATGGAGGTTTTTGTTGTTGTCAGCACTGAGATTGTGCAGGGCCTTCCTTCCTTTCTCCTCCCCTCCCCTTCCCCCCTCCTCGTCCCTCCCTCTCTCTTTCTCTCTCTGTCATGTAAGTCCTGGGGCTTGACCTCAGGGCCTGAGCTCAGGCTGTCCTGAGCCTTTTTGCTGAAGGCTAGTGCTCTACCACTGGAGCCACAGCTTCACTCCCAGCTTTTTGCTGGTCAATTGGAGATAAAGAGTCTCATGGACTTTGCTGCCCAGGCTGGGTGGGGTTTATACAGTTTTTTTTTGTCAGTCATGGGGCTTGAACTCAGGGCCTGGGTGCTGTCCGTGAGCTTTTTGCTCAAGGCTTGCATTCTACCACTTGAATGAGTAACAGCTCCACTTCCAAGTTTCTGGTGGTTAACTGGAGATAAGACTCTCATGGACTTTGCTGCCCAGGCTGGCTTCAAAGCTTGATCCACAGATCTCAACCTCCTGAGTAGCTAGGATGACAGGCATGAGCCACTGGTGCCGAGGGGGTGTATGCAGTTTTAATGGTGGACAACATGGTTTACCCGAATCCTGCTCACAATCCCATAGCTGTGTGAGTGAAGCTGTTGGCCCCTCTGAGTATGGAAAGCGCAAAGCCCCTGCACATGGATGCCCCACCCCGTAGCCACTGGGACGCACACTGCCAGGGCCGGCAGCTGCGTGCAGGCCCCTTCACATACCTCGTAGATGTGGTAGAGGTTGGAGCCCTCGTCCGGCCAATAGTGGTGGCACTGCCGGACGCCGTTCTCAGCCAGCGGTGTCAGCATGGCGATGAGGGCACAGCTGCTCTCCCACACCATCTGCAGACGGGATGGGGTGGGGGGCAGTGCGTGGGTCCTCATGGGATGGGGCAAGGGGCAGTGAGTGGGTCCTCACGGGATGGGGCAGTGCGTGGGTCCTCACGGGATGGGGTAGGCGGGGGGCAGTGCGTGGGTCCTCACGGGATGGGGCGGGGGGCAGTGTGTGGGTCCTCACGGGATGGGGCGGGGGGCAGTGTGTGGGTCCTCACGGGATGGGGTGGGCAGGGGACAGTGCGTGGGTCCTCACGGGATGGGGCGGGGGGCAGTGTGTGGGTCCTCACGGGATGGGGCGGGCGGGGGGCAGTGTGTGGGTCCTCACGGGATGGGGTGGGCGGGGGGCAGTGCGTGGGTCCTCACGGGATGGGGCGGGCGGGGGGCAGTGCGTGGGTCCTCACGGGATGGGGCGGGGGGGGGCAGTGTGTGGGTCCTCACGGGATGGGGCGGGCGGGGGGCAGTGCGTGGGTCCTCACGGGATGGGGCGGGCGGGGGGCAGTGCGTGGGTCCTCACGGGATGGGGCGGGGGGCAGTGCGTGGGTCCTCACGGGATGGGGCGGGGGGCAGTGTGTGGGTCCTCACGGGATGGGGCGGGGGGCAGTGTGTGGGTCCTCACGGGATGGGGCGGGGGACAGTGCGTGGGTCCTCACGGGATGGGGCGGGGGGCAGTGTGTGGGTCCTCACGGGATGGGGTAGGCGGGGGGCAGTGAGTGGGTCCTCACGGGATGGGGCGGGCGGGCAGTGTGTGCATGGGTCCTCACGGGATGGGGCAGGCGGGGGGCAGTGTGTGTGTGGGTCCTCACGGGATGGGGCGGGGGGCAGTGTGTGGGTCCTCACGGGATGGGGCGGGGGACAGTGCGTGGGTCCTCACGGGATGGGGCCGGGGGCAGTGTGTGGGTCCTCACGGGATGGGGCGGGCGGGGGGCAGTGCGTGGGTCCTCACGGGATGGGGCGGGCGGGCAGTGTGTGCATGGGTCCTCACGGGATGGGGCAGGCGGGGGGCAGTGTGTGTGTGGGTCTTCACGGGATGGGGCGGGGGGCAGTGCGTGGGTCCTCACGGGATGGGGCGGGGGGGTAGTGTGTGGGTCCTCACGGGATGGGGTGGGGGGCAGTGTGTGGGTCCTCACGGGATGGGGCGGGGGGGGGCAGTGTGTGGGTCCTCACGGGATGGGGTGGGCGGGGGGCAGTGTGTGCGTGGGTCCTCACGGGATGGGGCGGGCGGGGGGCAGTGCGTGGGTCCTCACGGGATGGGGCGGGCGGGCAGTGTGTGGGTCCTCACGGGATGGGTGCGGGGGGCAGTGCGTGGGTCCTCACGGGATGGGGTGGGCGGGGGGCAGTGCGTGGATCCTCACGGGATGGGGCGGGGGGGCAGTGTGTGGGTCCTCACGGGATGGGGCGGGGGGGGCAGTGTGTGTGTCCTCACGGGATGGGGTGGGCGGGGGGCAGTGCGTGGGTCCTCACGGGATGGGGCGGGCGGGGGGCAGTGCGTGGGTCCTCACGGGATGGGGCGGGGGGGGGGCAGTGTGTGGGTCCTCACGGGATGGGGCGGGGGGCAGTGTGTGTGTGGGTCCTCACGGTATGGGGCGGGGGGGGGCAGTGCGTGGGTCCTCACGGGATGGGGCGGGCGGGGGGCAGTGTGTGTGTGGGTCCTCACGGGATGGGGCGGGCGGGGGGCAGTGTGTGGGTCCTCACGGGATGGGGGGGGCAGTGTGTGGGTCCTCACGGGATGGGGCGGGCGGGGGGCAGTGCGTGGGTCCTCACGGGATGGGGTGGGCGGGGGACAGTGTGTGGGTCCTCACGGGATGGGGCGGGGGGCAGTGTGTGCGTGGGTCCTCACGGGATGGGTGCGGGGGGCAGTGTGTGGGTCCTCACGGGATGGGTGCGGGGGGCAGTGCGTGGGTCCTCACGGGATGGGGTGGGGGGGGGCAGTGCGTGGGTCCTCACGGGATGGTGCGGGGGGCAGTGTGTGGGTCCTCACGGGATGGGGTGGGGGGGGCAGTGCGTGGGTCCTCACGGGATGGGGCGGGGGGCAGTGCGTGTGTCCTCACGGGATGGGGCGGGGGGCAGTGCGTGTGTCCTCACGGGATGCTCACTCCACACAGGACACTGTACCCTGCAGCCCCTCCACATCTCAGGCCCCACATTCTGCATGTTTCACGAAACAGTGAAGGGAGAAAACCCAGTGACTTCATCCCTGTCCCCGGAGCAGTGTCTCGGTCCTGGGTTTGGCCATTTGCTCCCCAACTTGGGATCTGAAAGGGAGACTTTCTGTACTACAACACCACATGTGACACACGCCTGTCCCCGCGGAGTGTGAGCTGACATCACATGTGACACATGCCTGTCCCCACAGAGTGTGAGCTGACACCACGGGACACACGCCTGTCCCCAGAGTGTGAGCTGGCACCACGGGACACACGCCTGTCCCCAGAGTGTGAGCTGAAACCACGGGACACACGCCTGTCCCCAGAGTGTGAGCTGACACCACGGGACACACGCCTGTCCCCAGAGTGTGAGCTGACACCACGGGACACACGCCTGTCCCCGCAGAGTGTGAGCTGGCACCACGGGACACACGCCTGTCCCCAGAGTGTGAGCTGACACCACGGGACACACGCCTGTCCCCAGAGTGTGAGCTGACACCATGGGACACACGCCTGTCCCCGCGGAGTGTGAGCTGACACCACGGGACACACGCCTGTCCCCAGAGTGTGAGCTGACACCACATGTGACACACGCCTGTCCCCGCGGAGTGTGAGCTGACATCACATGTGACACACGCCTGTCCCCGCGGAGTGTGAGCTGACATCACATGTGACACACGCCTGTCCCCGCGGAGTGTGAGCTGACATCACATGTGACACACGCCTGTCCCCACAGAGTGTGAGCTGACACCACGGGACACACGCCTGTCCCCAGAGTGTGAGCTGACACCACGGGACACACGCCTGTCCCCACGGAGTGTGAGCTGACACCACGGGACACACGCCTGTCCCCGCGGAGTGTGAGCTGACATCACATGTGACACACGCCTGTCCCCGCGGAGTGTGAGCTGACATCACATGTGACACACGCCTGTCCCCGCGGAGTGTGAGCTGACATCACATGTGACACACGCCTGTCCCTGCGGAGTGTGAGCTGACATCACATGTGACACACGCCTGTCCCCGCGGAGTGTGAGCTGACACCACATGTGACACATGCCTGTCCCCGCGGAGTGTGAGCTGACATCACATGTGACACATGCCTGTCCCCACAGAGTGTGAGCTGACACCACGGGACACACGCCTGTCCCCAGAGTGTGAGCTGACACCACGGGACACACGCCTGTCCCCAGAGTGTGAGCTGACACCACGGGACACACGCCTGTCCCCACAGAGTGTGAGCTGACACCACGGGACACACACCTGTCCCCACAGAGTGTGAGCTGGCACCACATGTGACACACGCCTGTCCCCGCGGAGTGTGAGCTGGCACCACGGGACACACGCCTGTCCCCGCGGAGTGTGAGCTGGCACCAGTCACCCGGTGTGCATCTCCCACAGCTGCGTCAGGCGCTCGGCTCTGCTGTGAGACCTTGTGGTCAGACAGACAGGTGGGAAAGGTCCCTCTCCCCAGCACACCACAGACCCTGTGCGAAGACGTGGCCACGCTCCTCAAATGAGCACCCACACCAAGCCTATTGACCCTTTGTAAGCACCACACCACACCACACGAAACAGCTCCGCGATAAAGGGGACGTGTGGCTGCACGTCTGCCAGGAAGAAATGACCGCAGACACGGAAGCACCCTCCCGGTCTCAGACAGCTCTCCCTCCCGGGCGCGAGCCTCGGGGGTCCCACTGAGGGCATGTATCTCTGGGCGCACCCGTGTGCCATCTGAGTGTAGACATTTGTTAGCCCTGGCCAGGCCAGGGTGGAGAGGACTGGATCCCTGTGCAGGTTACATGAACTTCACCCAAGTCCTCATTCACAACTGCACTTAGACACAAATCTGCTATCCAAGAGAGCTTCCATTTCTTTTAAATACAGATGTAAAAATCCAATGAAGATATTATTTAAGAAGTGCACAGATCTCACACATAAAATGCTTTTCATCCTGCTTCACGTGATTGAATTCTCCACTAAATTACATTTTAAGAATCAGACGGCGCTCCGTATTTCCTCTTTGAACGTTGATTTATGTTCCCGTGGGACAGGAGCAGTCAATGCCCTGCGGCTCGGCTGTGTATCATCGATACAGAAGTTTAATGGAGCCTCCCGCCGAGTTCTCGGGAAAGCCCACAAATAAACATGAATTACGCTCCAAACCACACACTGCGTCTTCCTCCGCGCTCACCCCGCGGCCGGGAATCCCAACCCCGCGTGGCTGTGCCGGCGCCCGGTGCGCTCGCACGGATTTAACACACCTCCGGGAAGCTCAGGGGCTCATCGAGGCCGTTACGAAAATGAGGAGAAAACGGGTTTTATGAGTCTAATAAAACCACAATGACCTAGACCATAAACTCACCCTCCAGCTCCCTCGCTCGGGGGTCCTCCCCCATCCCTGCTTCTCTTGTGGGTTCCCACACGTGCAACGCCATTCCAGGCCCAGCTCTCGGAAGACTCGGCTAATCCAAACAAAGCGGAATGTAAACAAGCATTCCCCAAGGCGCCTTCCGGAGACCACATTTCTGTTCTGGATCTGGTGCTTTCTTGAGTCCCGGCCTCGGAGGGGAGCAGGGTATCTTGCGGCCTCTCCCGGCAAAACCTGCCCTGCGTAACTTCCCAGTGTGCGAAGGGCAGATGCGTTTGGATTTTGGTGTGGATCGACAGTACGAATGCGTCTGGATTCCACTGCAGACTCCAGATAGGACCGGGAGTCCCTGCCACAGACAGGGCGGTGACACGCAGCGGGACTCGCCCTCCGCTCGCAGACCAGGGGTCACTTCCCCTGGGCAGCAAGCAGGTGCTTCTACCCCAAGACAGAGCCAGACAGCCAACACAAGTAGAAATGAGCCTGAAGTA